CCCACCACCTCCCCCACCACCTCCTGTTACACCAACTGCTGTGCCTCCTCCGCCGCCCCTGCCCCAGCCCACAGCCCCCTCTGAGCCAGCCCGGACAGTGAGTGAGGAGAGCAGCAATGCAGTGCCTGCAGGTAAGGGCTGGGCATCACCAGCAGAATCTAACTTTGACTCCGTGGCTTCAGCCTGTGTCTTTGGTTGGTTCCCTGTGGCTTCCCAGCTTTCCAGCAGAGGAGGGATACCTCCTCTCTGGGAGGAGAACTACTCCTGCTTGCCTGGGAGCTACAAACCTTCAGTTCCCCCTTGGCAGGGCTCCTCATGGCTGGGGTCCTCCTGGTTGGGGGGGGGTTTTTTTTTCCTCATGGTTGGGCTGAGTCTAAGCCTGTCACGGCAAGGTGTGTGGGCTGGGCCCACAGCCCTGAGCAGAAGCTGGTGGGGTATTGGAGCAGCCCTTTCTGTGGGAATTTGGTTGGGCCTGTAGCTGGTACGCTGACTCGTGGCTGTTGCCTGTCCTTCTTCTCCCTGCAGCTTCAGTCCAGGGAGCCCCCAAGGAGGTGGTGAACCCCTCTACTGGACGTGCCAGTCTCCTGGAGTCCATCCGTCAGGCCGGTGGCATTGGGAAGGCCAACCTCCGCAGTGTCAAGGAGAGGAAGCTGGAGAAGAAGAAGCAGAAGGAACAAGAACAAGGTGCTGAGGCTTTTTGACAGAACTGATCTTCCCTGCTTTCTGCCCCAGGCTGGGGCGGTGTAGGTCTGGGGGGAGACAGGCAAGCCAGGAGCACAGAGAACACACAGAGCAGAAAGGTGGTGTCTCTCCTCACAAGCTGGTGTAGGTCTCAGGTGTTTCCCATTCAAAGGTCTGTGGACTTGCTAAACCCCATCTGCCCAAAGGGCATCTGTGTTCTTGATGAAGACCTGCTCAGTCTCAGGGCATGTGTAGAAGTTTCATGTGTGCTGCATGAGGGCAGACACACAAATGAAACCCTGGGCCCAAGGGCCGAGCAGGTTTGAGCACGTTGGTTTAGGTAGCTGGGGAGGGTATTGATGGAGCTAGTGTAGCAGAATGAGACTGCAAATGCCCAGCCCCTCTTGCCCCACAATGAATTCCACTCTTGGATTTCCCCAGATGCCCTGTAGTGCCTGGTGTTTTCCTGACCTGAAACTGGACTAGAGTGGGAGAGATTAGGGCTGTAATACAAGATTAGAGGTTTGGTTTTTGTCTTTAATCTGAAGGCAGCATTGCAGGAGAATGATTTTGCTGTAGCGCTAGGTTCAGACTGACACTTCTTGTCTGACTTGTTTTGCTGTTGTTTTCAGTGAGAGCTACAGGACAAGGTGGAGATTTGATGTCAGACCTCTTCAACAAACTGGTGCTGAGGCGCAAAGGTACTGTTCTGCAGGGTGGGCCACTGCTTGGCCCTAGGAAAGAGCGAGAGCTCTTTCTGGCACCTCAGTTGTGTCAGCCACAGCCCTAGAAATGGGAACAGACACCTTCCCCGGTGAGTGTGCCTTGGTGCAGCTAGGAGTGACTTTACAGAAGGTGAGCTCCTCCTCCCCGGAGGAGGTTGTGGGTCGCTGACAGAGGACAGACTCAGAAAGCTGCTTGTGAAAAAGGGCAGCTGAGCCCCAGCTCTTGGAGGCACCTAAGGTGCTGCAAGGCATTGGCAGATACCTGTGGCATTTAGGGCTGGTGTCACTCCTCAGTGCCTGGCGCAGAGCAGAGAGCATGGACTTGCTCAGGTGGAGCTTTAGTTAAATGAGCCCTCACACAGGGCTGTGGTGGCATTTAAGTGTAGTGGCTGCTCTGCTTGCCTGGATCACCTGGGTGGGAGCCCTGATATGAGGTGTGTTTCCCCCTCCCCTTTGCTGACCACCTGTGTTCTCTAGGCCCCAGGTGTCACTCACTGGTGCTTTTTCCTTCCCTCACAGGTATTTCAGGGAAAGGGCCAGGAGCCTCTGGAAATCCTGATGCTCCTGGAAGTCCTGCTGGTGCCTTTGCTCGTATGTCAGACTCAATACCACCCCTCCCACCGCCACAGCAGCCTGGGGGCGAGGAGGATGAGGATGACTGGGAGTCATAGATGGGGTCAAGCAGGCATCAGTGTGAATCCCTGGACTCTTGAACTAGGCACCTTTGAGAGACACCAGCCTATGGAAGTACTTCCTGGAGGGTGGGTATGGCAGGGGACCCTGTTGTTTCTTCTTGAAGAGGAGCAGGAGCAACAGGTGCTAACTGCTGCTGAGGTTACACTTATCAATGAGTTTTTCTTCTGCTGTTCTCCAATGCTGCTGCTGCTCATGCTGGTGCAATAAATCCTGCCTTAGCTGGCAGGTAGTGGGGCAGCCTGTGCTCAGAGGATGAGAACTAGCATTGCTCCTGATTTAAAGGGCCCTCTGTCTTTCCTAATGTGACTGGTGATGACTGCAAAAACATCTCTTGCAGGCAAACAGCCCTTGCCTCATTTGTCTCCCTGCTACTTGCTTGTTGAAGCTCGTGTTTGCTTGGTTGGTGCTAGAAAAGAGAATGAGTGTGTGTGTGCTTCCCTTCATGGAGGTTTAATTCCTCCTGCCTCTGCACATGATGGTTTCTTTTTCTACCTAGCTTATAGCAATTCTTTGCCTGTTGCTGTCTGAAAAATTTCAATAAAGTTGAAGGAAGCAGGTCCATGCAGCCTTCCCTTGGGCAGAAGAGGGAAGTGTGCTCAATTAAGAATATCTTAAGGGAAAGCCCAGCTGTCCACTCTCAGCTGCAGCAGAGGCTAGCCTTACAACCCAGCACCAGCCCCAGGGCTGGGGGATACCAGCTGTGCCCCCCACTCCCACTGTTGCTTTCACTGGGGTGAAGGCAGAGCTTGTACCCACTGAAGGGTACAGAACTTGAAGTACCTGCCCCAGAAGTTTCTCAAAAGCAGCTGTTTCTTTCTCTGTGGGTTCAGTTAGCATACAGGGAGTGGGTACCAGCTCTGTGTCTATTTAGAAGTGCTTTCTTCATTGTGAAGAGGCCTGAGAGGTAGCATCCAGCTGCTGAAATTGGCAAGGAGGCAAAAGAAGTTCCTGCAAAGAGACTTGGTCAGGATGACAGAAAGAGCTGGGGGTGGATGGGGGATTATATAGTTATTGCCACCCTCCAGCACTGACCCCTGAAGATGAGGAAGGTTACACTAAAAAAAAAAGGTTTTTAGCATTTTCCACAGAAAGTTACTTTGAATTTAAGAACCTAGGCAGTAAAAACAGCAGAGCAAGCCTGTGCTTAAGCATGATCAAAAGGAGAAGTGCTGTGCTGTATTATGGCCGTATCTTTATTCCTTTTGAAAGACTGAACCAATCCTTGAATCTATTGACTGCTTGAAGCAAGGTAGAAAGAAGGGGATAAAAATGCTACCCCTAGCTGCCCCGTCTTAGTCTGACTATGTAATTCCAACATGACCCAAACTAGTGGCCTGATAGTCTACAATTCTTGTGAAGAGCTCTGTGTTTCCATTGGTCATCAAGCCCCCTACATTTGGTGACATTGGGAAAAGGCAGTTTTGTTCAGTCAAAAAATAATTATACTCCCTACACTTAAGTGGTGGGGTTGAAACTATTTAATCAATTTAAATAAAACCTTAACAGCTATAAACTAATAGGAGCCTGCCACTACTACCTTCACCTGCTTCAGACCTACAACCAGTTTCCCTCCTGGTTATGGTGCTGAAGGCTGTCTTCCCAGTGTAGTGCTTAGATCCCAAACAGCAAACACCCACAAAGGCAGGGATGTACAAACTCCTTAGTATAGAAAAGCAGGAACTTGTGTTGCTTCAGATCTTCTTCAGACATGTAGCTCACAGAGTTGAGCTACAGCCTGTTCTCTGGTCCATATCACAAAGTGTCCGACTTCCCTCGATGGAACTAGAACACACAAAACCAGATAATTTATTCCTGGTCTTACTCTAAAGCAAAGGTTTGAGAAAAGTACAGAGTAGTACAGTTTTGGTAGCAGTACATAAGATAGCAGTTCTGACCTTTCTTAACTCTGCAAACGCTGATCCAAAGGTGGGTTTCACCTGGGTTCTCTCCCTGATCCACTGCGGCAGCTTGTTAAAGATGGCAGGGCGTGCATACCTGTGGTCCAGGAGTAGGATGCTTGCAAAGTCCGTCTGATGGCGAATGGCTCTGCCTGTACAGAGTGTAAAACCACATTAAAATGGCCCGCTCAAGTGTTTGTTCTCAGGCAAGGAAGCTCATGTTCCCATCATCTGTACTTAGACTGATTGGTAACACATCCTTTTTCTCACCCTCTTACTTCAGTGCAGTCACATTTCATATCCCCCAGCCTGTCCAAGGAAGGATAAATTACCTATCGACTGGTTTACTGCCTTCATGCACAGGTTTTCAATCAGCACTCTGCTAGGTGCCTGGCCAGCAGCTCTGGGCTGGAAAGGAAAAATAGGTAAGACTGAACATAAGGCAGATGTAAATCAAACCAGGGAGTCTTAATGACAAAGTGAGGCAAATGCTTTTACCCCTGCAGAGTGAGTGGCTGGCCAAACAGACCCCAAACTGGGAGTAAGAGGCGGGGACAGAAGAAAGGCTGCAGTCAGAAAACTGGCCCCCTTGAAGGGAGAGCACTCGTCCCCAGCTGCCCAGGAACAGCGTCTCCAGGGGGCAGCGAGAAAGAACACATGAGCCAAGAGAACTGATCCTGGCAAGCTGCTTCTACCACCCTGCCACCTCCTCTCAGGTGAAGGGACCTTGCTCCCCTTGGAACTCAGTGTTCCCACAGAGCCCCAGCGGTGTTTCCCTCCACCAAGCTTCTTCCCAGTCTTTAGGGCCACTGTACACCCATGGTGTGGAGAAGGCTGTGCTCTTGGTACCACACAGTCCAGCAAACGAGGGTAAGCTCAAAAAAAAAAAAAAAAAAAAAAAATCACTGAAGGCAGCCCTGGGACTCGTGTGCTGGGAAGAAAGTTAATGCTAAAAAGCCAAAGTGAAAGAGGCAGAGGTGTAAGGGTCTCTGTTACCATTGTTTTGTCAAGCCAAGTCATTTTTTCCTGGAGCTCTGGAGATTTAATGTTGGGGTAAGGCATTCCCACCATAATCACACACCTGCAAGGGAGGACTGCATTATTCGTAATGTCTCATCCTAAAGCACTTTGCCAATAGCCTGATAAATTAGAGGTCACTGCACCCCTGAAAGACAGCCAGCCCTGAAAACCAAAAGCAGCAATAAAGCACAGCAGTCTGACAAGCACGTTCTGAACAGAAAGCTGCAGAGGGATTCAGGGTGCCAAAACAAGGGATTATCTAATCTAGCACAGCAAGCCTAATTGCATTACTCACATGAAAAGTACTCTGGACAAGCGGGTTTTACACCACCCAGCAGACTTGGTCCTAGTTGGTTTAAGCATCAGCCCAAGCCACATGCTCTCCAGGATTTTCTATTTATGCATTTATGATGTGTCTACCCTGCCTGCAGTCACTGCACCACAAGCCCAGCACTTGCCTCCCAAGGAGCAGCTACCTTACCTTCCCAGGTCATCAGAAAAGTTGATCCCTTCGCTCATTTTGCCTCCAACTACAGAAAGCAGCAGGGCTCCTGTCATCTGTCCTCCTGCCTGGCTGCAGCGCTGCAGGAGAGGGACCAACAACTTAAAACCAGAGTAAAGACGAGTTCTGTGCTTCAGAAACACTCCCATACCTGGGCTAGAGCCCTCTTTCCTTGTTTAAAGCTGCAATTCCCTCTTTAGCGGTGCTCCCATACGCAGTTGGGATGACACGCTCCCAGCAGCCTGCCAGCTCAGCTTACCTTTATGCACTTGGCATATTCCACCAGCACCTGCTCCACCTGGTTGGCTTTCTTAGGCTCCTGAAAGATCTGTCACGGGCACAGTGCATCAGTCACAGCAACAGCAAGCAAACAGTTTCAAGAAAGCAAATAATTTTACTCCCATGCCATTAAACAGCACATGGAACTAAGATATGGGAAGGGCAAATTGCCTGAAAAAAACAACTTAACCAGCACCCTTCCCCTCCACCCTGGAAAAACACCGCATGCTCACTACGGTGCTTTTCAGCTGGGCTCTGAAGGGAGCAGCAGCTGCTCCTGCCCCCTCCAAAGCTCTCTGTCAGCTTTGGCAGACTTGTCTAATTCTGCAAGAAGTTACAAGTCACCTGAGAGCTGAAAGGCAGGAGAGCAATGTGCACCTCTTCCATCTGTGAGCAAATCCAGCGGGGTGAGGGGACCCTCCAGCTGCAAGATCTTGGAGGACAGTGACAGGACCAATCAATTCAAATCGCCTGTTAATTTGAAGTAATAGCTCCCCTTTCCCAGTGAATAAATCAGTTTTCTATGCAAAGCATATGTGAAGTAATATTTCTTTATGTTATTCTAGCATGCCTAATTAGTTACTGAAAGCCCCTTGCAGTTAATTAAGCTGCATTTTGATAGATGCAGCACCTTGGCCTAAATCACAAGTTGTTTTCCTAGTAAGCAGGAGATGCAACATCTGTCTTTTCTGTGACAGTAAAAAACCTAAAGGATGTGTTTTCTCTTGGTTAACAAGAAGTACTATCAAATTTCACCAGAGAGAATCAGTCTTTCAGTAGAAAAATAACTGGCAATTACAAATACAAGCCAAGACTATTATATTTATTAAACAGTACCTATTTAATCCTCCGATTTAAATTAATTTTCCATGTGTAATTTGTATATAATCTCAGTGTGATCTCACCACAGCCACCTCAGGAAAGACTTTAACCTTCCTCTGCTAGGATATGATCTCGTGTGTGGGCAGCTGAAAGTCACACTTGCTGCACTTCTACCAAATTGCTTTGCTAACGCATATCCAATTTGCTAGAGACTGCAAAGGCCAAACAAGAACAAATCAGAGTTGAAAGGCAGAGCAAGCTGCATGATTGTGGCACAAAGCCTTGGAGGCGCCAGGCAGACCATTGGGACTGTGACAGAACGCCCCTGAGAAGCACTGTGAACAATAGCTGTACAAACATTGAGCTGCTGGAGCATGTCCAGAGAAGGGCAGCAAAGCTGGTGAGGGTTCTGGAGAACAAGTCTTATGAGGAGCAGCTGAGGGGACTGGGGTTGTTCAGTCTGGAGAAGAGGAGGCTGAGGCAA